TATATATATATATATATATATATATATATATATATATATATATGTACATCTATATAAGTATCTACATGCGTACGTATACATGCATATATATATATATATATATATATGCATATATGCATTTCAGTCAAGTAGTATTCAAGCCAATATTTCCGTAGTGACAACGGGAACAAAGGAAATAGCAACGAGATTAGATTAGGTCCACTTACCGCACTGGCTGAAACTCAAACTACCTATGAATCGTATACAATCATAGCAACACAATTTAAAGCATAAATAGAGCGATAGATTAACGAACAGAAACAGACAGCAGCGTCTGTTTTTAGTCAAATCAACCGCACTTTGGTAACACGATCAGCACAAAATCAAGTGCATCTGTCGATTATAATGAAATGGACTTTGGGATGGAGTTTTTTAAAGCACTACACGATGGAATTGGTACACAGCCGGGAAGGACCGTGACTTCGTGGAAGAAAAATAGGAGCATGTGTAGAAGATTTTATTCATAACTGATAAAAAAACAAGTGGAAAGTTAAGGAAATTGTGCAATTTATGGGATGTATGGAATTCACCAGGGAATTATTAACTGAATGTATTTTGGCTAGAATTGGAAGTAATAAAACTAGACGTTACATTTCAGTAGCGTCTACATAGAAGTTCAATGTGATCTCAATTAAACATACTGTATATAGAGGAGTGAGAAAAATAACAAACAGCATGAGATGACTTAAAAAGTAATGATGATTTCAACTCGGCTTGACGGCATCAATGATGTGATACAGCACCGACTACTCTGGCTTTATGAACTTATTTAGCATTTTTGAATATGCAATAGTTATCGACTGCAAAACCACTTCTGCCACAGCCATGCCCTAGGTTGTTTTTAACGATTCCACCAGTATTTCCGGAATGACATGTAACGGAAATTATGGATTGCTTAACTAATTGAAGGAGAAAAACAGTGCGAAACATAATAGAGTGTTAGGAACATACGGAAAAAAAATGCATGTGGAAAGTTGAACGTATTTAAGTGAACCTTATGGCTGTTGTTTCAACCTAGCCACTAACTCGTTTAGAACTTGTATTTGTGCCTGAAAGCAAAGAATTACAATATAAACACATAAATGTGGGAGATGTTCTAAGTCATGAATTGAAGAGTTTCAATGATAGTAGCACCGTCTCACTACTGCACTCTTGATGAGTGTAAACCCATTGAATATTCACCTCCACTTTCTTGTTTACCTCATCTTATCCATTTCCTAAGATTTTCAATGAATTATGAAATTAAGGTGAGTAAGTCACGATGACAATATAACAACGTGTAATAATATTTTCTCAATCGTATTCAAAAAGAATTCGCACAACTATATAAAAGGTTATCGCTCAATCAATAGTTTTCGTATCGTAATAGAGACAGAACTATGATCGCGACCACATTATTATGCACTGGCATTATGTGTATCAATGAATGCGGCCACCATTCAACGGAAAGAATGCGGCTCCACACTTCTGATGCAATATCTTACAAAACTGCACAGAGCAACTGTTCAGATTTCTTGAAACTATTAACGAAGCCAATGATAAACTACTGACTGATGAGAGGACAACGAAACACGATGCATCATTTCCACTGAAATATATCGGCTTCTTTAACAAATTTAGAGATGAGATATTATCAGTGTACAAAAGTACTGATAGAAATGTTCCGAAAACCTAGCTACGGTTTAAAATGTACTAAACAGTCAAATCACTTATTACAAAGATTTCGCAACAAGCTTGCTATTTATTAAATGATCTACTAGAAATTTAATGCGAGAACTATACAACAACTTGCACACTTCATTACTACGCCAAATACCATAAAATTTTACTGTGAAGGGTTGCAGAAAAGAATTGGTGGTAGTGCACGAACAGTGATGCTGTTTAGAACGATCACCATGCTGATTCGAGCCCATCTTGGCCCCACTGATCTTCCTATCCTACCATGGTCAAGGATTGATACTCATACTACTCTGACAGCTACTAACTCCTCTCAATTGATAAAACTTGGCTCCTGTCTGTAACGAAGAACGGGGAACCCCCTAGCACAGATATCCCAGGAATTGAGGGGAATTGGATCCGACTAGCATTCAGCGAAATTCGTAGAAGCGATCAAAATCGTCAAGCAGTAGCTGAAGCACCACACAAACACGAGGACTATCGTGGATGATTATACGAGAAGACGAACTGAATGCAATACATTCTGGAATGCATAAAACATGGTATGTCGAGTTGTTCAAAATGAGATAGAAGAAAAATTTTTAACTCAATATTCCTTGTTTAACACTTCTGAAATAACATTCAAATTGGGTCCTACCAACATTCGGATTCTTAATATCGAAGAAAAGGACGACCTTGAATAATTTCAGTGACTAACAATGAATAAGAACCATGAGCGCATAATTATCACTATTTACTTCCCTTCCCTTTCTCCTAAAGTAATTTTTTAGAGTTGCCGTACCTCAGGACCAAGAACAGAGAAATGTTTAAGAAAACAGGCGAAGAGTGAGCGTAATGAAGGGAATCTATTAATGAATGATCCTTCTATGTCTGCATTTTTGGATGATACAATACTAATCCAAGTCAGTTTAAATAGACTGTTGTATAGTAAGTAGGAATACGAAAATAAAATAAGAGTTAGTTACTACAATGCTGAGATATATGCAAAACTCCAGACCGCAGATGTATGCGGTGGGAACGAACGCGCTATTGTCCTTTACGGGGAGTAACGCGTTCACCTTCACACCATGCGGATCCTTCATTTCGCCTGTCTCTCTGCTAGTTCTATCGATCTTTTGCCATCAGCAATCGTCCGTCAACGGGATTGATCTGGGGAGTCCCAATACTCCCCGGAAAGGACAACAGCGCGTTCGTTCCCCACCGCAGACACCTGTGGTCCGGAGTTTTGCAAATATCTCAGTATTATAGTATATTATAGTAGCTATATTTCGCAAAATACTCTGCTGTTAAAAAGAATAGCCAGTAAATAAAAAGGTTAAGATAAGAGTTAATGTTACAACAGAAAGTTTACAGCATAACGTCTGTAATCTTTCCTAGCCGAATAAACTGAAAACTTCCCAGCGATGCTTATCGTGTCCGGTTTTCTTCTCATTCTACATTCGAAAAAGCTATTTTGACAAAGTGTATGGTCTTCGGTAACACAAAACAAAGTTTGTTATTATATTAACTATATGCGAAATCTTTTCTAATTTACTGATGCCTTGTATGTCGAGGTTGTTAGCCTTACGTACCTTAGCATGTTTAATCTCAAGATCGGCAAGATCAGCAAGATTCTTCTTAAAAGCCAGCACACGGCGCTTTTTAAGATCTTTGAGCTCGGTTCTTGCTAATGCACTGATATCTTCAAATTTTTTGCATGCCTCCTGTTGCTCTGTCTCAGCCTAGAATATGCCACACAGCTTGCAAGACAATGACACTACTTACAATAATATAAAGATAAATGGTTGGAAAACTACTGGAAATAAAAACAGATACAGAGAATGAAATCCGTGAATAGTAAACACCACCTCAGTAAATTCTACATATCAAATTTGGACCAAACGAAAAGTGATGGAGCGATGTTAGTAATACACACTCGTTCACACTGTTAATGAACATTATTTTAAAAAATAGTTGTTATATAACTATTCTGGCCTATAGAACGCCGAAACGGAGCAGATAAAGTGGGCCGGACACGTAATACGTGAACGATAATCGATAGACAAGAACCGTGAGCGAGTGAATTCGTCTGAATGTCAAACGCAAAACAGGAGGACCAACAACCCGATGGTCACAGTTGTTCACGAGAACCCTACAAGATAAGTATGATGCTCAGTGAGTCCTCTGAGCAAGTAGCGCCCACTTGGGTCGCTTGAGGATCAACAGGACGACAGGTGATAACTAATTTTCGAACTTTTCTTAACACTTGATTTAGAACAATAAAAAGCGTAACATTCCATTTTACAGGTGTGATTTAGGATTCCGAATGAACACTAAGCAGGTGGTTCGAATCTTCGCATCGGAGACATGAAACTTGATGATGAAGAAGGTCCATCGTTAGCTCACGACAACCGCGTGACGACGATAATCAAAGCTGACCAATTAAAAATAAATCGACAGAATGCAGAACTTGAACGATAACCATTCAACAGTCGTGTGTCACTTGAAAGTCATTGAAATGGCGAAAAACCTCGTCGTCATAAATCTGCTCTTCGCTTGGTTTATGTAACAAAAGTGATCTACTTCTCGACCACATTGCAATGAAAATGGATTTTATCCGAGAACCAACGACGACTTTCAGCACTCTGACGGGACCATAATGAACCTTTAAAACATCTCCCAAAAGAAAATTGTACTAAAACGTGACGGTGATTGTCTAGTTGAATACAGTCGTATTGATCCCCAACAACTTCCTCAATGTTGACGAAAGATCCAGAGCAGAGAAATGGAATGCGAAATTCGTAAAATGCTACAGAACCACGACGTACATATCCAGCACTGTTAACAGAAAGAGTTCAATGTTTCTACATGACAGCGTTCGACACCACCACACAAACAACGTTGGGAAAGTTGAAAAACCGCGTTATGAATCTTCCCAGTCTAGCGTCCTTATCGAACATGTAACCAAGTAAGCACCACTTCTAGACCATCCCTACAGCAAATTTCAAGTTAAAATGTCTCCTTAATACATACAAATTCTATGAACGACAAAATGCTGTATATCCTAATGGTTTCAACTTTAATTAATAAAGTTGTGCACGAATTCAGGTTTTAAGTGACGGTAAAAACATTACTATTTCTCAGCCAACCTAACAGTATTAAATGTTTTAATGCACAGTTCGTACATAGATGCATATGTATATATAGATTTGTATATGTATATATATATATATATGCATACATACATGTATACATATATGCATAAGCTATACTATATAGCATAACTGTTCTCCTAACGGTCTACCAACTCATCCTGGCTGGGAGGTGTTCCTGTGTGTCGGACTACGATGTACAGAGGATGGAATCGACCCCCGGTAGGATCTCCCAAGCTCCGTAGAAGACCAGGATTTCCATCAAGCCTAGCTAAGAGTAAAACAATGTCAGAAACCACCATCGTCCTGGTATCAGGGTAGTCTTATGGTGGCAAACTCCTGATCCACAAAGGCACTACTGCCTGTGGCGGTGAGGACTTGGGGCAGACATTGGTCAGGCTGTACTCGGGACTCCACAGAACTACAATGGCTAAAGCAGTAAAGTTGTGGAGAATAGAAATTATACTCAGGCTCGCACAACCAGAGAAGATGGACCATCCAAGTAAGTATACTGTAACTGTGGCTATGTAATATATATATATATATATATATATATGCTATACCGCACCCATATATATGCATATATATATATATATCTATACATGCGTGTATACGTTTAATGTGTATATATGTAAAATACACAGCATATGTACATGTGTATATATAGTACATGTTTATACATATGTGTATATATGTACATATATATGTAAATATACATCAGCGGTTTAATAACTCATCATGATCGGGAGTGCATCTGGCTTTCGAAATATGATTCATTCTGCGCCAAATTCACCCAAGCGCTCAGATTTTGACTCGACTGACTAGACAGGTGCAAATCTATCCTACTACATGTTTAATTGGGGTACGAAACAAGATAACCCTTGACGATATCCTTCCCAAGGTTTTTCTTGACGTTCAAACCGGTTTGAATCCTTTTCCAGTCTGTTATGCAAGAGTATAATCTGAAATATTCCGTAGGAAGCATATAAAAAAGCAATTTCTAAACGGAGAAAATAACATTGAGTGGAAACGGATGATCAACAAATTCTAGTCACCAAGTTCTACGATCGACGAGAGGTACACAAGATGAAAAGATCTGCCTCTTGACGGCGGATCATGTTTGATGGAAACACTCGGCGCGGTGAACATTATTTACGAACAGACTTGAGCACACATGGTCTGGAGAGATCGCCTTCATTCTAACAAATCACGTCTTGAACTTGCAGGTCAGAATACGTATCTTTGCTTTTTCACCTGAACCGATAAAACATTGAGGAAAGCTGCGAGTGCAAATTAGCACTGAATTAGTTACGGGAACAAAAACAGCCATGTCTTTTTGAGCCTAAACAAAAAGAAGCAAGCAACTCAGTCACAAAGTTTGCTCTGTAAAAAACTGTTGGAACCGAATGGGATTGTTGAGGCTAAACACTGAACACAGCAGCATTACTAGCCTACGGTAATGTAAAGGGAGAGCTGTTGAATAGATTTGTGGTGCAACCTTTCCTTTCAATGGCGTTTGACCTCATGCCGCATAATTGACTTAGAGACAACTACAGGATTTGGAGTATCTATTCTCCTTCACAACCGTACAACAACTAAGCAGCGCCTCAGCCTCCCTAGTTTTCGAACATTAAGAATCACCTAAACAACAAGCTTAGAAACTACGATATCCTCGAAAATTCTCCGAAAAACTCAATATCCTTTTCTATGAGAAAAGAAACCACTGACCTCAAGCCAACTATCGGTTAGGAGAATTTTTGTTTTCAGATAACAACAACATTGGCAAAACGCAAACCAAACTGTCCATGTTTTCAATAGCTCAGAGAGGTAAGGTGAATTCAAGAAATAATTATCTTAGTATGGCAGACTAGCGTAAGCTATATCTTCGGCAAAAACCTGACCACTCTACGCATTCATGCATGGATGTGCTTGCTTGTATCTAATTATATTGTGCATATCAAATCAGCAAAATGCCTAAAACCTTAACGGTTAAAAAGAACATGGTGAGTGGTTCGCAGTTACTTCCAAAAAATAGGGGGTGCATCTCTGGGCACATTCCACAAGCTACCATTGAATAAACGCAATTCCCTCACACTTAGTCAAGACATAGTGAGCGTGAAAACAAACTCGCCAAAAACAGAGAAAAATTGCAAGCGCGATAGATAGTAATCGTGTCGATCGAACGAGTAAGGGGCACTGCTGGGCTGCACTGACGAATGGAGACGTTGCAAGTGGGTACATGGTGGACTAAGGTGAGATGGGGTTCATTTCAATCTAAAATCTCGGGTCTTAATAAGCCGCTGACAGCAATCACCACTATGTTCACAGGGAATGAGTGACAACCGGGTAAACCTCACTTTGATGCAGCAAAATAGGGGAGTGTTTAAAATAGTCGCTCAACCAGCGCTACACCATTGTGAGCACCTTTAATATAGGTGTTCCCTACAATGAAGTCAAGCAGTGATAATGTTGATGAAAAGCGATTAAACTGGGTTTACACAAGAAGCCACCTACGCTCGAACAGTTTCTCACTTATGATGCCGACGTTTACGTTCTCCAAATCTGAAGTTATCGCAGTTCCTCATTGGTATCCTAAAAGACGTGAAAACAAAGAGCAAGAAGAGAGACAAAGCCAATTTAACTGCGCTACTTTCACTATTCAGGAGAAGAGATTGGGCTGAGGACTGATTAGAGCGAAGTAAACGCGTTCTAAAATGAGATGGACAAAATATCAGCAAATTCATTCTGCATATTGGTTCCTGAAGACTTTAATGCCAGAATGGGTGAAACGAGTAGAACGATGTATGTTTCTCTCCTCGTACTAACCACTAAAATTATAAATCAAATTAGTCTAAGGAAAAACAGAATAACACTACGAAGAAACGATAGTTTAAACATCTCATATTATGAGTTAAATATACTTTCGGAATATCTTTGTTGCGACCGCGCGCACGCTCGAGATTCTTGTTTGCAGCTTCATAGTTGGCCAGACATCGCATACGACGATACAGAAGATCCTAAAATTGGAAAATGAAGTGGAGCACGATTATGTACGACGGTTAAAACGCCTTTTTTCCAGTGTCAAGAATCAAGATGATAGCGAGTGTTCAATTTAATTAATGAAAGGATCTAAGTAAATACACAACTAGTGCTATCCTTTATCAGCTGATATACCGTTAACAATCTTGTGATTCAAGAGCGTAACAATGAAATGTCCTTTTGTTCCTGTCATCTGTCATAGTCGGACAGAGTTCTTGGTTTACTCGACAGATATCGTTGAAATGGTTATGAGGTGTTTCATTTTCACCGCTTTAGTCAGGCAGTTAATCACGGTCATTCTGCTTCCGAATTAGACATGAAATCAATCTATTGCGGACGACAAGACCACCGTTGAACGTCAAAAAATATGTTGATGTGGAAGGTTTAAGTAAATCTGGTTCAGTCAAGAAATATAGTCAACCCTCTGAATTTACCAGTGTCTCTTTCCAAGTACACGGTTACTTTTGGTCCGCGTTAAATCCGCTGATTCTACGCATCAAGTAGCTTCTCCAGTGAATGTTTAGAGATATTTCATATGAGAAATACAGGCAGAAATATCGCTAAAACATGTTAAATGAGTGCCATCCTATTTCCTCAGTTCGCAAATAAATGAATGACGACTTAACAATATATTCTAGATCAAGAGTGAAGATAACGTTAAAGCAGTTTGGTCTTCCATTCCAACGAAATCGATTATGCATTGCAACAAGCACGCCAATTATGTTACATTACCTCTGTTCCGCAAATAGAAACACCTCAGCAAATACGATACACATTCTACTCTCGTTTTATGCTCCTACGGGTTTTCATAAAAATTTCCTCGAAGAGTTATGTCTCTTGTTAGGCGCCACTAGCACTGAACACCTGATTAGAGCAAACCAATCAAAATTTTAATTGGTCGTGAAAGAGATTAAGTTGTATGTAAATATACGACTTTTTAATTACTGCCTATGAATTTTCTTTCCCGTGAATATTATGTCAAATACAGCTACAATAATGCTAAGATATTTGCAAAACTTGTACAGCAGGCCAGATTCAAATCCGTGATTACCCTTCCGTGGGCCGACTGTTACTCGCACCACTGGGGCATCGTCTTTCTCTCAGCCAGGTTTTGACCCTAATGGTGCCATAAGCAATCACCAGTCAACGGAATGATCTGAGGAGCACAAATTGGCAGTGAATCCAGTTAAGCTGACGGTGTTGTTGAAATCAAAATGCATAACTTTTTATTTATTTAATTTATTTTCTTATTTATTGTCTATTATTTAATGCTTATTACTATTTCAAACAATAATGCACTGGGTAACACGTCTCACCATCAACAAGGTTGCACGTCTAACATTTACAAACACAGTACTAATGTAGAACCTCATCTTTACAAAGTCAGTATCGGAAATGTTTCAAAGATCAATAGTGAAAATATAGTCTAAATAGCCCGAAAAACCTGCGTTATATATAAAGTGGAATTCAGGAAAGAAAATCAATGTGATTCAGCTAAAATTGTCTAAGCAATGTACTGCGTAGTATTGTCGCACTTTGTAAACTACAATCAAAAGTAACACTAATGATGAAGGCGAGATGAACAAGAATCAATCCCATAATATCAGAGTGTTTAAAAAAAATTGAAAGGAAATATGAAGAAAAACAAGTATCAGTGCCTACAGAAGTTCGTTGATAAAACAATACCTACTAAGAAATTCGGACACACGGCATGAACTGGCGAAGATTTTACTGGCTTCGTCCAATAGAAACAATTGAACTTAGACTGGTTTTGGAAAATTTACTAGCCCAAAGGCAAAATGAGAATAATTCCCAAGTCACCTCAATTGTATTCCCATATTATATGCAGATCTTCGTTTGTTATCGAGTTATTATACAATAAGAACTGCATAGACTAGTTGAAAACAATTTTGTAATTTTTTTAAACGAAAGTTAATTTCTTCAGCGCCCTGAAGCTTTGTCCGATTAAAAACGATGAAATCTGATAAAACGATTGTTTACCCAGTTTTTGAGATGCCAACTAAATGAACGGAAAAAAACGGGTCATTTGAACTTTGATACTAGAGACAGTCTTTGCATGAATCCAGCCAACGACGCCTCAGCGGCAGTTGACTAGACGAGCAATGACGCGCCACATCGATTAGGCTTAACAGAGAATAATGACGAATGAATACGTCATCAGTTATTTCGATATAGAGGTGGAAGTGTAATCGAAATAAAGGAGAAATGAAATGTGGTAAACGAAGGAAAAACCCGAACTTTAGAGGGAAACGGTAGACAAATATCTAGTTCGATTCTAACAACATTTCATCATCACAACCACATAACTGCTTCTGTTCCCGGTTCAACAAGCACTAGTTCCGTAATCATGTCAGTTCTCATTTGAGGAATAACTGGAAATGGATTTTTGAAAGATAATGACAATAAATTGTTTCTATATGGAAAACAGATTTAATTAACAGAATTAGCACTTTTTTAGACCTTACACGCAATAATTGAATAGATCTACCACGAACAACGAAATGCTTCCTCCAGTCTTCTAGATAATGTTTGGAACTTCTCCTTATGTACACATACCACTATGGAGTGTTCTTGCTCTTTCCAAATGTATAGACCAGTGAGTGAAAACACGGGAAGAGTATTAATTCGACTACGATGCGAATGCGATGAACAAATAACTAACGCAAGGCGACTGAAACTGAGTTACACGTTTTCATCTAGAAACCCATATAAATTAAACTAACTTCAAAAACGCAGCCCTAAACTAAGGTAGCAACTTTTCCTCTCCGGATCTCATGAAATCGACATTCATTTGCTCTAATGCAAATATACATTTCAAATGAGGTCGTTTATGTGCACATAAGCACCGCTTAACTTTGCTTTCGCGAAAAACCAAGATAAAGAGAAATTCAAAACTTTGTGGCACTGGTCAACTCAAATGTACTTAAAAACTACGAAGCATAGATGCAGCTAGCATCCACTTGTTAACGCATGCGCACATGTTCTCCTGATGTGTGATGAACGCGAACATTAATTCATGAACAAAGTTAAAACTTTCACACTCTATGAAGTGTTATAATGAGAGTTGACAGGTGATCCTAATCTACCTAACGTATGACCCTATGAACCTATTCTCAGTTGGAAATATGAATTTGGCGAGTAGGGTTTTGAGTAGGGTTTGGGTGGGTTTTTTGCTTTGTTTAATATTTGCTAAAATTGTAGTTAGAAACAGTGGAGAAATGAAAACATCACAAATTTGACGGATTGCAACCTAAACTGTTTTCCGGATCCCTTTTCCAAAACGACGCGGTCAAACATAATGAACCAGTAGAATAAAATGACCAACTATAAAATTCAAAACTGATTTGCTTAACGTAAATACCACATAGATAACTATTAATCGAAATGATAAAGGAGTCTCTAATACAGACATCTTTTCAATAGAATGTGATTTCGTCATAAAATAACATTAATGACAACATTACGGCGTGATCTAATTGTGAATCAGTTGTTAATGAAGATCTCAAATAAAGGATAAGAATACAGTACGATCTTCTTAAGAAATCTGCCCTATTCGAATTACCTGTCTTACATTTCGACAAGGTACAGTATGAATAGCCGAAATAAGTCAGCGACAGTACTAATTAACCCATCACGGACACGCGCGCCATATAGCGTCAACTGTCGGACTTTTTGGCTTAGATGATTAGAGTGCCTTGGGGTTGTAAAATGGTAGAATTGTAGAAGTGACTTTACTCTACTGCTCTATGGCAATGGATGACGAGTACGCTAGTATTTCTGGACGTCCCTATGCTCCATTACGCATATACAACCCTGTCAGCACACGGAAGTATCCTGCATTCGTTTTGAGTCTATTTCGGTGTTCTTTATATTCTTTCGGTTTACATTACATATCATAGCTACAGTGATTAAAGTGAAACAACGCTTAATTGTTGCGTTTTACTTTTCATTTTCTGCCTACAATTTTTACGGCAGGGTGTCAAGCGAAATATATCCACAACGCTGCTGAGATATTTGCAAAACCCCGGGCCGCAGGTGTTTGCGGTGGCGAACGAACGCACTATTACTCTCCCTACGATTTAAACTACAGCCTCAGTTTAATTGGGCTCAATGCCGATGTGGACTCCCCAGATCAATCCCGTTGACGAGTGACTGCTGAAGGCACTGATCGACAGGACCAGTTGAGAGAAAGGCGAAACAAAGAACACGCATGGTGTGGTGGTGAACGCTTTAGCCCCCGGAAAGGATGATTGCGCGTTCGTTTCCCACCGCAGACACCTGCTCTCCGGAGTTTTGCAAATATCTCAGCAACGTTGCTATTTTGTTTCACTTAATTGTAGGTTAAATCAACGGTCAATGAACCTTTTTAAAAGGTTTCTTGTAGGTCCCTAAGTGCAGGAAATGATTTTCTTGTATAATCGACAATATTTCAAACTGCTTTTGATGAGCCATCGGATGAGATACACAGTATGGTAAAAAAGTGTTCTAGAACGCATTAACTTGAAACTGGCCGCTATGGGTTGACCCAAACGAGTATGGATACTATGGTATCCAGGCGGATCGTCATGGGTTAAACCTCACCAATTTATTAAGTATAAAATTTTTGCCTCCATAATTCAGATAAAAAATTTTTCACTAGTTTCAAACCAACCAAAAGTGGTGGTGAGCAATAAGGAAAGAAGGAGTAGTAATGGGGAAGAAATGTATATGTCATCAATTACTTCGACTGAACTGAACAAACTTCAAAAATTTAGCAAAATATTTACTTTGCTATTACATAACTTTGATGCATGACGGAAACCGAAGCGATAAAATGGTGCTGTCAAATTCTATATAATATAAAGGCATCTTCTCCGGAATCCACCTCTTCATTAGCGAAATTTATAACTCAAAATGAGTACGACTTAATTGGTCCTCATAAACGCTTATTATCACAGATTTACTTAGGAAAGGCACAGAAAGCAATAAAGAAAAAAGTAAGTGTTATCCTCCAAAAGGAAATATTATTGAATAGGAAATGGATGCCTCTAGGGAAAAGAACGAAGACATAGTCTAATTGCGCCCACAGAGCCAATTCCCTTCTCAGTAACATTGTAAAATTCATGTGATCGACCAGTTGCTTGATAAAAGCAGCAAAGTCACACGGACTAACGTCTTAAATAACAACGAATGAAAGGAGTAAGACTACAAAGCAATTAAAAGATGGAAAGGAAAAAAAACGCTCATGAACAGCATAAACATTAAATCACACCAATAAACCAGGTAATTTTCTAATTTGAAAAGAAACGCACTCAAAAGCTTATGACGCGAGTTCTCAGTTAGCTTCATTTCGAAAAAATGAACAATGAATAAAAGCTATGTAACAACACTCATTTGTCCACGTGAACCATTATCTTCAGTTCACAATCGATAAAGAGTTCTGACGATTACATCACACTCAACATATATTAGCGTATATTGGTATTTCAACAACTGCCGATAGCTCACCGACAACTAAAGAATTTATAGAGTTGAGAACATTATGCAATTAAAAGAGTATTTTTGACTAATTACTCTAGAAGTGTAAACGATTCTCTCTAAATGTTCACATCATACGGGTGCGTGCAGCGCATAGTAGTGGTGGAGAGGCCGCTCAATACACACGCAAAGCGAGCCAAGCCACCCATTCCACCAGTATCAGAATATTAGTATCAAATGAAACTTGTCTGGAAAGGGCTCTTTTCTATCCTTGCATGGCTATTCCAAGACCATCGAGAGCACTCCAAGCACCCAGTTATATTCGTGAAGAAAAAATTCTCAAGCAGCTTCGCGGATGATGGATGCGAGGAAACGAATCCAACACAGGAAGTGATGGGATCGACATATGATGTAGTGTGAGATTAAGTAAAACAGGTTCACATTCGAAGAAGTTAACGATAAAGTTTAAGTTTTCGAAACTGTCAACACAAGCACGACAGCTGAAACGATAACGATACATAAGGTAACATCATTGTACCTAAGGGACGAAATACCGCTTGCACATTAGCTTTAATGTTCAAAATATAAGCTTCTACATAAAGAAAACGGCACCTCAACGCAGAACTTCGCCTTGCGTCATTGGAAAAAGAAAACATATACTATGTTGCCATAAATATGTAGATTCTAGTGGTTCTCATGCAACTATGAGCTGTGGCATGTTTAATTGGAGTTGAGCGATGCAGCCAGCTGCGCGCGCTCATGTATTGAAATCAATGCATTGTGTTAAAAACGTTTTCGAAACTGCTTTCTCAAACTTTAATTTACCCAGTGATTTAATTCG